GGGGCAGCCCCGTGGCGACGCCCGGGCAGGACAGGCCCAGCCCCAGCCCCGGCACACGCGCACACCCACGCTGCGCACGACGCGACCGGAGGATGCAAGCACATCACACGCAAAACAAGCAGCTCCCGAGCAGGGGAGATGCCGCCGGACGAGGAGTCCTGCGGTGCCACGGAAGCGTGGCACGGGTGCTCTGCGGCGGGCCCGGGAAACGCCGTCAAGCGCCATGGCCCCTGACAGAAAGTTACCGTCAAAACTGGGATGATGGATGCCCAAGAAGCCAGGCACTAAGTCCTACGACTGTGTGGATGCAGGGAAAAAAACCCAGAAGAGGACCCCATGGAAAGCGAATGCTCAAGACAAGAGAAGAGCTGCTGATGCAGCCTGCATCACCGCTGCAAAGGTGACCGTCCACAAACAACTGCGATGCAAAACACAAGACGGATCCACACTTCAGGCTTCGACTGCTCGGCGAGAAGTGCACAACGGGCACTGTGACAGCAAGGCGACGCAGTCAAGACCCAACGGATGCCTACGAAGGTGCACACCAAGCTCACTGAGCACAAAGAGCAAGGGGCGAGCATAAGACCTAAGAAAAGTATGGTATAGGACGCAGAACACGGGCTACACAAATGATGCCACAACACAGACACAGGCAGGAACTGCCCTGCCCAGCACATGCTCACCTCATGTGGAATGAACCCCACACCCTCTCTTCTGCACCAAAACGTGACCTCCCTCTTCACTGCACTGACTTTAAACACCTTGCCTGTCCCACACCGCAATCTCTCTCCACCCCACCCACCCATATCCTATGCCCTTCAGCCTCGCTTTCAGAGGGCTGGGGGTCAGAATCCATCCTTGAGAAGGACCACATTGTGTAACCAGGATGATGCTGCAGTCAGCAGGTGCCTCTTCATCACTGGCAAAACCAGTGTTGGGGGTCACTGTGATGCCAGACAACACTGACCTCTTCCACAAAAACATTATCCTCAGAAGCACCACAGACTCCACTCACCTGTTCCACACCCAGAACCAGATGTTGCAGCCAGCATCTCCTGTGGCACCTGTAAAACCAAAGAGGTAACATGACCACCATGCTCGTAAGCATTCACCTACTGCATGGGGCCTGCTGCACCACTCCTCTCCCCTCCACCAGGTTACCTCAAATGCTCAGCCATTTCATAAGAAAGCCCACTGCTGCACCTGCAAAAGCAGAAGGAAACAATTCACTGAGTTGCCTCACGCTACTTTGCAATTGAACTCCAACCTGGCTGACAGGTACCTCACCTTCTCAGACTGCTCAGGTACATGGCTTCACCCCTCTGGGGTCTTACGAGGAGTGGCTGAGGGAACTGGGGTTGTTTAGCCTGAAGAAGAGGAGACTGAGGGGAGTCCTTATCTCCTCTACAGCTCCTTGAGAGGAGGTTGCAGCGAGGTGGGTGTTGGTCTCCCAAGTAACAAGCGATAGGACAAGAAGAAATGGCCTCAAGTTGCACCAGGGAAGGTTCAGATTGGATATTAGGAAAAAATTCTTCACAAAAAGGGTTATCAGACACTGGAACAGGCTACGCAGGCAAGTGGTCAAGTCCCCATCCCTGGAGCGATTTAAAAGGCAGGCAGACAAGGTGCTTAGGGACATGGTTTGTTAGCGGACAGGTATGGTTGGACTTGATGATCTTAAAGGTCTTTTCCAACCAAATGATTCTGTGATTCTTTGATTCATATCGGTTTTGATGGGGTCAAACTCCCACAGGCTCCCAGGCATGAACCCCCAGAGCCGTTCTTTCTGGTGCTGCAGTAGCTGACCCCAACAGGGAGATGTGCAGCCTGCTCAGTCAATGTCCGAAATATGTATCCCTTGCCATCTGGTAATACTGATGGATATGAGTGATACAACTGGCAACATTTAAGGCCTGAAGAGAGGGGAATTGTGGTTAATAGCTTAAGTCAATAAGAAAAACTTCTTAGGTAAAAAACCACAGTGTGCCTATTACAAATGCTATTCTGTTGCACTGCTATGTTTACAAAGGTAGATACATAAAAAGCAAATATATATTACAACTAGATATAAAAATATATTTGTTGTTATAAATTAGATATTACACTGTTGTGTATTACCCATTTTATAGATATATGTATAATAAATTGTACACACACACACACATTTAAAAGAAATATATAAGAACTCTTGGCCAAAGTTGGTTAGAAGGAAGTGAGGAAAGATAAATGCCTTCAAGCTGGAATATGTGGCTGCAGTCACTCAATGTGTACTAAAAAAAACAAAACAAAGAAGAAGAATATTCAACTTTTTATTGATTTCCTGTTAGCTCAACTTTCTAAACAAAAACCGATCACCAGTGTCAATACCACAGTAATTTGCTGTTACAGTGTCACAAAAAAGCTCTGGCTGCCCAGCTCTGGAGAGGAAGCAGTCCTTGACTGCCTACCCTATGTTGGATTAAGCGTAACGATCAAGAGAGGTAGAACGCTCCTTGAGTAGGGAACAACAGGATTTATGGATGCGTGTTCAACAGTGCAAGTAGAGCTTCCCTGTGCAAGACAAGTAGACCATCTGTTTCAAAGACTGCTTTTTGTTAGGCAAGATCTTTAGTATCAGATGTAAGGGCTATAATATCAGATCTATCATGTAGGAAATACTTAATATTATACAACTTTTTTGTCTCTAAAATAATGAAAGGGATATAGTTCATTATCAAAAAGAACTGTGTTCCTCATACAAAGTAAATGCTTTTCGTTCAGGTACATTTTGGGAAAAAAAACATGAAGGAAATGTCTTTCAGTAGCGAGTATAATTTAGACTAAGAATTAAGAATTTAAAAACATGTAAAAAGCAGTGGTTTCTAATACTATGGAAAAAATAGAATAATCTCGCAGTCATAAACATTAGAGCAACAGCCTATGCTACACATTTCTGTTGCTCATCATTTTGTCCAGGTGCAGGACAACTGGCTTCATATTTTTTCTTCAAGCCTTTCAAATATATACGTAAACTGTCTGGATCCAGTCGAGAATTCCTGGCAGTCTGAACCAGTCTCATCGCTAAATGGTATACAGCTCTCTGTTTCATCATCTCAGGGGTGCTTTTCTGCCTATGCTGTTCTTAGAAACATATACATGCATTAAAATATGAAATCAATTATTCTATTATTAAAATACTAATATTAGCTATTTTCCAGCCTATTTCTGATCTCCTGATTCTTGGTTTGTACACCAGCATTCCATCCAATACTCCTTAACCCTAAGGACAGCTTTGTGTTGTAACCTAACAGTGACCTTCAGTATAATCTTTAAAGCTGGTTCCAGATATACAAATTTTAATGAAATCTGTTTTCATAAAACCATAGGCAGTGCTTATCCTATATCCTTTCAGAAACTGAAAATACATTTTTATAAAAACTGTGAATTAGTACTGTAATTTTCTACTACATACCAAAATTTGTTTTGCAATATGATGTGTGATTTCCTTTGCATCCAAAATTACAGATGATGGTAGGGAGGAAACTTCTGCAGCTTTTAATCCTAAACATGTAAAATATAAATCAGGATTTTTGATGTAACTTTTTTCCCTACCTTCCACACCGTGTCTGCCAGAATAAACTTAGCCTGTTTTTTAAAGGCCAAAGTTTTCATTTTAATAAAAATAATTTTCATATACATTTTCTCTTTGCGTCTCTTTTTTTTTTTTCTTTTTTTTAAATAAACAATATGGGGTTGAGAGTTGCAAAATAAAACATCTACTTTGTTGTAATCCTACCTCTAAGATACACTCCCACATGAAGTTACTGCTCATTAATACTGTAACTGGGCAGGATGAGACACATTAGGGGTTAAAGGAAAAAAAATGGCACAGTGGTGTTAAAAGCTTTCTCTGTTTAGGTTTTTAATTTGGCAGGACAGAAAAGATTCAGGCTGTGCTAAATGCGTTCTCCATTAAATCCAGACATCCAGTGGATATGGATTTCATGTTCCAACTTCTAATCTGTTGCCAGTAGCCAAACTGCCAGATACTCAGGGTAAGAAAGAGATATAAAAAATTTTTTTTTTCCTTAACATGATTTTTTTACTTTCTCCTTTGCCTGTGGCCCTGTCTGTTCTGAGGAAATTCTGTGCTTCATTGGGTGCTTTAATACTGTAGGGTTAAAAGCGAAAAACCATCAAGAAGAATGTAACTTTAAGTAAGGTAGAGCCAAGACACTGAGTTACTAAAGGCCTCCTGTTCTCTGAGAATGCTCTCTAAACACACGATTTTTCTCAGTTAGTGGTGGTGTAGCATCTGAAATTAAGCTTCTGCTGACTCTGAAATTTTGATAAATAAACATTTTAAGTCCAGTTAATTGAAGCCTGACTGGAATAATTTGTAGCCTTCAGTTACGACTAGCTTGTGA